CTTCGACCGTCCAATATCTGTCGACCGGGCAGTGCCCTCCGATCCGTATCAACCAGTAACAGCTCTGCTGCACAGTCGCCCGCATCTTCCGATCTGAGCAACTCACTCTCGCGCATCACCGCCTCATCTCTGGTAGGGACAATTTCCCCCCCCCCTCTGTACCCACCATTGACCCAGTTGTTGCATTCGTGTTTTTTTGCCGACTTGGCTTGCACAGGACAAACTTCAAAAGGCGTGCGTGCGTGCATAGATTTAGGCAAGATTCCGGTTGGGACAGGCTCTCACTAATGACAGGCGAGGGGCAAGTGCGTCAGAAACCTTGACGTGGTCGATTGGAGCATGCGCTACAGGAAAATATGAAGACAAACAATCTAAATTTGCAATTCCAGTGAAATGTTGATAAGGCTTGTCCGAAACACTCAAACATGTCCACATCAATTACAAGCTCATTGTTGCAGGATCTCGTTACGCGGATAGTCTTTCTCTTCTCACTTACCTCCTCCTTTACCCCCTGCACACATCCGTATAGGCGTTTCCAGATGCATGCAGCAGGCAAGATCACGCGAGGCGGTGTAGTCTTCAGTTGTATCACGGGAAATTGGACTTCTTCGAGCGGCCTAAAGGTTGAGAAGCCCATATAAATGAGGAAACACACAAGATGGTTAGAAGTCAACAGCATGTCAGACCACTGGCTTTGCCCTTCTTTAGGTGCGCGCTCCGTTCTACTAATTTAAGGGTACTTTTTCTGTGCTTTCGTAAGTTAAATGGGGGAGTGAGCTTTTCAATACCAGCGTGTGCGGTTATTTACGACTTGTGTAGTTAATGGCTGTTACTGACTGCTAGGGGTTTCTACCACCGGCGCAATGAATTTCGGCCAGTGGCTTGCTTCTGACCTTACTTAAGAGGTAATCGCGCTGCATACCTGGCCTTTTTGCCGTCAGCTGGCGCAGGCAACTGTTTTTCACATGACCGGAAACTGCTATACAGTGATTGCTTGAACTGACTTCCAGCCCGCTCGAACAGTAAAACGTACGCGCTGCTTCATTTATTGGCTTAGGGCGTTACAGGCTGCCTCCTATATAAAGTACATCTGCGTTTATGTAGCTCCCATTTCCTCCATAATGTTCGCTCGGAGATTAATCCTACCCGACCAAAACTTGCCATGGCGACTTTGACATACAAAGTGGATATCCAGGGTGCTCTCACAGACTTCTTCAGGCGGAAGAGTTTGGGTGCGTCTGAAGACGCATTTCGGGCCTGTTGGCCTCTTCACATGCAGCATGCATTTCAGTGGAAAATTCTGCGGATATTCATGCGTTTAGCTAAGTATGCACGCACTTTTTCTCCGGTTGACCAGGCAGCCTATGTGTGCTTGGAGCCGCTACTTTCGGAAAGCGCGACACCCAAAAAGCTCGCACGCAACTGTCCCCCGCACTCACAGAACTGTTTTACTCCTCTGCTGTTGTGCCCACGATGAACAAACCAAACGACTTAGTTATCTTCATTACCCACAACACCTTACCTTGACCTCATCAGGGCGATATTGCCGGCGTAGTCGGTCTTCCAGTTTTTGCTGTTTTGCGGTTGGAGAACATAATCTCGAAAAGGCAGTCCGGGGTTGCCGTTTGTACTTGGCCTATATAGAAAAAATTCCAAGAAGTTTTATGAGGCGTCTAATCATCGACGCTGGTTCCTCTATGCCTATCGTCTGTCTTCGTTTAGTCCTTTCTTGTCCCCTAGCACTATTTGATTCAACTCTCTCTTCGCTTTTGTCACTTCAGCTCCTTGTATTGTGTTAAACCTTGGGTATTGATTGAGTTCAGAGCTTGGATCACAATGCTTCAAACCAGACTCTTAGCTTTTGCAGACTATTATGTCGGTCTTTGGTAGCGGTACCAGTGCTGACGACAGTGGTGAAGCTCACGGATGTCGTCCCACCCTAATCGCCTGTGGGGCGTTCCGGTATCATTTATAGTTATACGGACAATTTCAGTCATCCGACCTACCAGATTGCGAGGGCGTGTGTGTGTGCCTATGTGCATTGTCAACCCCAGCAAGTTCGCTCTGGCGCGCTCGCTCAGTCACAAGGTCGACAATTGTTCCACCTTCCCCTCTTCCTCCTGTTTCGGCTTCTTTTCGCCATACGTTTACGCGCATCTGTTCACAGCGCATGGTGCACACATCCGCAGACAAACGCCTACATGCACACAGCAGGCAGATTCACACGCGAGTGATGTTCACGGACAGGCTTGTAACTCCAACAAAGCCACAGCTGACTACGCCTCTCTTATCCCAATTTTTGTCTAGTTTCCCTGCCTGCCTGCACACACGCGTGCCTCTCGTGAACCTTATTGATTGTCCTGTCGCAACACGCTCTTGCACGCAGCTACCGTCGTTTGCGCCCAGCTGCCACCGCTAATGACGGCGCCTTCTTCTTTTTTTTTTATCCCTATATCACTTCCATTTAGTCCTTAAGCGGAGCCAGCGAGAGTGGTAGCTCCACACCAGTCTCCAGCGTCGCCTCGGTGCCGCAGCCGAAGGCCTGTGGCTCCCTGTTGAGACAGCCTCACTCTCGAAGCGCCCTGCGCACGCCCGGCAGTCTGTTGAAATCCAGCCCTCTGCAGCGCGCCAACTCCGCCTCGGCCAGCCGTTTGTCCAGCGGAGGAGGATCGGCGCCGAATAGTGGTCTGTTGCCACCGGCAGTGGCTTCGCCCGTGCTGAGCCGCCTGGGCCACGCCTCTTCCACTCAGTCCGTCGACACGGGGCTCTCGACACGACCTCGTCCTCCCACCGCGCCCTCTGCCCTGAGGGCTCCGACGCAGACCGCTAACAGCAAAAGCGGCCGGCTTCACCCCCCCGCCACCGCGTTACCACTGGCCAAGCGCACGCCGGCGAACCCAACGGTTGTAGCAGCTCAGAAGGTCACGACAGGTCTGAGGCCGCCGGCCAAGAAGTCGGCCCCACCAGCCGATGGAAGACCAGGTGCTGCTGCTCCCCTCTCCTCGAGATCCACAGCACCGACTACCGTTGGTAGCAAACTCCCTGCGGGCTCCAATCGCCCCGTGGCCATTCGACCCGGTGCAAAGGTTGCACAGTCCCCGGAGGGTGCAGCGGCGGATGTGGGCCGTCAGGAAGTTGGAGAGGCAACCGAGCACAACGAACACAAAGTTGTACGCGGCGGTCGCAAGTCACTGTTAGGTGAGCAGCAGTCTTTCGATGGTATTATGGTATGAGTCTTGTTCACTTAAAAAAACTCCGTCGATCGACTATTTGTGTACTGAAGCCTTAGAAATCGCCAAAGCGAATACCAAACGTTCATTAAATTTAATGGCATACCTAACTCACATAGGCCATCTGAGAATCTCTTGGCTATGTGTCCGTTACCACCCTTTTGCGTCAGTTCGACTCATTTATACTCTGTTTTTTATCCTTTTTTCATTGCCATCTTTTGTAAAACTGCCTGACGTTTTGCTTAACTTGTGTCTGGCCTACATTCTAGTTCCAGGCTAGTCGATTTGAGTGCACTTACTCTAATCCGCCGCACTTTCCCCATGATTCCGTTATCTCGGTTGTCCGTTTGAATCCAAGTGCTTCAACGCGCCCTGTCCACCTTAGTCTTTTTTCCCTGATACCGAAATTTCCTGTCACTCAGTGACGGTTATATTTTAGAATTGTACTTTTATCCGCGACTTGCTGACCACCGAACTGGAGTAAGTTTTGTGTTCACCAGGCCGTCCAACCAACGAACTACTGCAACCTCTCCAGACGAATGGCTTGTTTTAGTCTTTGGTGGAGGTAGACACGGCCCTTTTCAAGGGACTGTCGGTTTCTCCGAACCCTGTTACTGACAAGCTTAGGATTTTCTGTTCTTTCAAATCGCTCACTACATGAACACGTAGTTTGCCCTCCATTTAAAGCCAACCTCAGCGCACGGAGTAGGACTTGGTTGTAATCCCTCAATCACTCGCATTTTATGATCGAGCGGCAGTCTGTTTCGGCTTTAGCGCTTTTGAGCACACCGATTCTGTCCTTCCGCACTGCCCATTAGACACTGTTTTGCCGTACATACGATTGGGGAGAAACCAAGTTCCCCCACCGCATATGGTGGCCTGTTAATCGACGCTCTTCCGGAGGGGTAAGAAAATTGAACTGTTTTCCCTTATTACTGAACGTACGAGGGAATATAGCCAGCTGGGGTGGGGTGTGGGTGTCGCCTTAGCTGTCAGATATAACTTGACCGTCGGATCGCACGGTTGACCAAGCACACACGAACGTGTCTCCTCGAAGTGACGATTAGTAGCACTCATTGTGTCCACTACCTAAGAGAGGTAGTAAGATATTGTAATCCTAAGTGGTTATGCTTATTGAAATTGAAAAAAACTAAAGACGGATGAAGATGGTCCGCGAACAAAAAGAGTGCGATGAGGACATTGCGCGTTGTGAAGCCCCGATATGTAGGCAGACTTGGGTTAAAGGCCTGGACGCGTAATTGTCAGGTGCATGCAAAACCTGCTGGTTTTCATTATTATTCTTGCGGAAGACCTCGAGAGTAGACAGTCATGGTAATTTCCTTCAGGACGGTGAGTTATGAGTCATCAGTCTGTAGACAACATGCGCACACCTGGCTGCGGCCCAAGAGAGTGTGTGCACGCGGACCGGGAGCTGCCTCGCCTTCCTCTCAGGTCTCCATCGTTAGAGTCGCTTATTTCTTCAGATTGATCCGTTCTGGATATACCATGGGGCAGACGCCCAGTCCTCGTTACGAACGCAGTATGACTTTCATGATCGTTTCGCAAGTGTAGAGATCAGCGACAGGCCCCATATTTCAGCTTTGCGACGGCGGCTCTTCTTACTGGACAGAAAACTCATTTTCGGCTCCCCTGTCCTTTGGATTGTCCAACACTGCGTAGTTGTCAGAACTGAGGGTATGCTGACTTTATGCGTAGCTTCCGTTGAAGGTCGCGCTATTATCTTACTCCTGTGGGCGCTCCTGGGACCGCGCAGTCAGGTTAAGGGCAGGTTATATTTTCTCGGACTCCTGTCGCACTGGCCGCTAATAGTACACTTCGAGCAAACTTTGGGCGGAATTTGTGGGTTAGTTAGGTGAACGCTGATATTAAGCACTTATATGAGCCCGTAGTCTCATAATTTTTGGGTATGGCATACCAACTGGCTAAACTTTGACTTTTTGAGCCCACGCAAGTGTTCGAATTGCAACAGGCAATCGCAAATCCGGAAGCATTACGAACAAAGACAGCAAGGACTTAGATCGCCGTTTTCAGCATATTCGCTGTCGTTTGCCAAACACGTTACTACTCAGGGCTTAATACTGCAAAGAAAGTGGATACTATGATAGCCACCTGCAGTCGCAAATATGGCCACAAAATCTCATTCACTTGCGTCCCGCGCTAATGACGTGGCATTTTCGACTCCTTAACTATAAAGGTCAGATATGGTTATGCAGCCGCACCTGAGGTAAACAAACCCCAACCATCTGTAGTACGGAACCGGCCGTAATATGAGGTTTTTACAGGTGGGGCCGGTGAACGCACATGCGACGAGATTAAGTAGTTGTATGCAAAAGAAAAGCAATTGGGAATGCGCGGTTGTACTTTGAGTGGTTGATAAATAGTTGCCCCAACCCCAACAGTATTGCGTCCATCAGGTGGGGCTATATAACCATATCTTACTAATATAAATAATCAGGTGTCAGTTTTTCACGCGTACTGCCGGTGGACTTGCTTTTTTACAAAACTCAATGTTCAGGGCTCAGTATACCCGACTTTCTTGATATAGGTCGCAAGCCAGGTACGACTGGTGCCATCCCAGTTACCCCCACCAGTCTGGTTCGTCCTACATCAGCTTCTCCCGCGCCAGCCAAGAGCCGTTCTGCAGCTCTTCCCCGTCCCCAGTCTTCGCTAATCAAACCGGCCACTGTTCCATCAACAGCACATCGTTCGAACGGGATCACCTCTGCTGTAACCGCGACTTCGGCGAGTCATCGAGAGCCAGAGGCCCCTCACGCGCCTGTTTGCGAGTCCTCTTCCAACTCTTTAAAATTTTCAGGTCTGAAACCTCCCACAGCAGGCTCACAGTTGCCAAAACCTCCTCTGAGGGCGCCTACCACGGGTGTCTCGGCGGCCGCCGCTTCTCAAACCAGAGCTAGCCTGTCGGGTGTTCGGCCCTCAAACTCGGAGCATGTGAAGAGCGGCCTTCCACGAATCCATCCCCCGAGCATCGCAGCCACCGCTGCTGGGGCTGATAATGTCGGCACCTCCGCTCGCGTTGCCGCCCCTCCTGTGTCTAAGTTCGATCAGTGGATCGTGCGTAGAGAACTGACAAATTAATCACCCCTCTGTCGTCAGTCACCCCTCCCCCCTCCCCCATCACCTCCACTGTTTGTGTATTAACCTCTGTTCCTTGCGCTCCATCTCCCTTTCCCGTTCCCCCCTCCTCTTGTTTCTTTCCACTCACAAATAGACTAGCTTTGTTCCTAGGGCTACCAATATCCTTTGCCAACGGGTTACGCTTTTTACCGGTTAACTCTGCTTCCTGTCACGTCCGTCTTCTGCCTCCTCTGTCTTTGCGGTTGGTGCAACGGCGGGCGATAATGTATGTACCTCTTACTGTGAAGTCTCCTGTTGACTATGCCTTTTTCGTGCGCCTCTTGAATCTTATGATTTTTGCGCTGTAGTATACATTTGCTACAGAGCGCCTTCACCCCGCCTCCCGTTCATTTTTCTTTAGTTTAATCTCTGCCGCTTATGTTTGTGCGCACATACTAGCGTAGCCAACTAGCGGGTGTAGAAATAGGAGAATGGAGGTATTTTAATTTGTATTTTATAAATTATATACTCCTATCATGTCGCTGACTCTCTTGATATTTCAGTTTCTCTCCAGCCCCTGTGTCAGTTTACTGCCTTCCGTCGGCCTTTGATGCGCATTTGCATGTTTCTGCTCCCGCCCGATGACCTCATTCTTTTCAAACTGTTTTTTTTTCATACATCATTCGTAAACGTGTACTACTCAGACATTTTAAATCTTCAGTCCCTTACTCGTTCTCGAATGTTGCACTAGTCACTTTGGACTGACTAATGAACTCGCTCCAAATGCAAACATACAAAGACAGGTTGGTAGTTGGGTCGCCCATTGTGTACTATGTCGCATTTTGCTTCATTCAGTCTGGAAATTAGGACTGGCAAACAGGCGTTAAAGTAGGCTCAACTAAAAGGCCTTTGTGCTGAACCCGTTATGTGCCTGACGTCACGTTATTGGCCTCCTTTGTCTGCGCCATCTTCTCTCAATTTCCTTTGCGAAGGTCTTTCATCTCGCCTTTCAGATAGGACCAAGAGAGTCCTTGTTGAGGGCCTTTGAGTAGGACGTTGATTTGTGGAAGTAGACCACTGTACGCACAAGAGAGGATACGAATTACAGCACGCCGGTGAAGGGTCCTACTATCCGTGCTTCCTTTATTATCATAAAAATGGCCAATAGGTGTCCACGGATCGGGTGTTATTTTCCCAGCGGAATTCTATTCATTCACTCACACGTACGCAGTGTATCACTGCCGACTGTCACCACGGCTGTATGCAGGCAAGTAGCCATCAGTTCCAGTGCCATTGCCTCAAAGTAGTATTTCTGTGTTGTCAGTAACTTGGGCCTAGGTATGAACACTATTCCAAGTAGAGGGTCTAGCAAGTTTCCCCTGCCCTACACGTGATTCTGCACATCTCGCGCTGTTTTGGTGCCTGCATGACAATAATGCAGTTCTTGGCCTAGAACTAAGTCTCCAAACAGACACTTAACAACATGGTCAAACTCCGTACTGCCGCGTGTCATGCGCCTGCTGTCATGTTAAGGCAAAAAAACGAGCAGCCGCAAAAGCGACATCTAGCTAGCAGGGGCTCGATCTATCGACAAGTTTGGGTACGGAAGTGAGTAAGTTTGGCATTTGCTCAGCAAATGTGGCGCTTTAAAAGACAGAAGGCATGTTTTCCCAGGCTAGTCGACAGAAGGCACTTGTGGATACTTGCGAAAAGGCCAGTGCTGCAGTGGCTCGCCAATTATTCGTATATGCACTGCGGGTGAACGTCGGTCAAATGCAACACATCCAGAAAGGGAATCACGTTGGGGGGGGGAGGGGCTAGACCATAGATTAGCGTGTCGGTCACAGTGCCTGCAGTAATAGGCGGGCCACAGTCATCTGCTTTTTGTATCCAAAGCTATGCTCTGATGTCGCGCAGCATTTGGGGTTGAAGTGTTGTGGTCGTTGGTCGCGGCACTGCCTCCCCCTGAGGTGGCGCTGATTGCCTTGGATCGGAGCGCACAGCTGGTGCTGACAGTGTCGACACGTAAGGAGGGGCTCGTCATCGTTAAAGATATCCCTCGGGGCAGTGTTCGCAC